TTTTTTTTCAGCTGCACATGGGTCATTTTCTAAAAGAGACCACGTACTAGTCCATAGGTCATGCATAACTATATGCAAGAAAAAAGAAATTAACCCATGTATATTATCTGAACACAGTGAAATGAAACTGGAAATAAATGACAAATGAAACCAGAAAAATCCCATGAACATGTGGAAATTAAACAACGCTGTACTCAGAAACCAATGGGTCACAGATGAAATTAAACAAGAAATTTAAAAATATCTACAATTCAATGAAAATTGAAGAAAATGTATCGGAATTTATGAGATACAATGAAAGCTGTTCTTAGAGGACAATTTATAACTGTAAACTCATGCATTAGGAAAACAAACCAGGACAAATAAACACCCTAATGCTATACCTCCAACATCTAGAAAAGGAAGAGCAAACCAAACTCAGAGCCCAAAGATGGGAAGAATTCATAAGGATTAGATCAGAAATTAATTCAATTAAGACAAAGAAAACAATTCAAAGAATTAATGAAACAAAAAGCTGGTTCTTTGAAAGATTAAATAAAATTGATAAGCCCCTAGCTAAACTCTTCAAAAAGAGGAAAGAAAAATTCAAATACAAGCATTAAGGTTGCCTGGCAAGTGCAGGGTCCTGAGTTAAATCCCCAGTACCACAAAAATAAATAAACAAAACAAAACAAAATAAAGAAAAGAGACATTAAAAAAACAAGCAATAAGGAATGCAAAGAGTGTAATTACCACACACCCAGTGGAAATTTAAAAGATCATTAATAGCTACTTTGAGAATCTTTACTCTCATAGAATAGAAGACACAGACGAAATGGAGAGATTCCTGGAAAGATACAAATTGCCAAAACTGAATGAAGAAGATATAGCAATTCTCAATAACAGCCAATTAAATATGAAATGTAATAAAATGTAATAAAACTACTGACAAAAGAAAAGTCCTCATGGATTCACAGCTGAATTCTACAAGAAATTTACAGAAGATATAATCCCTATACTTCTCAAACTCTTCAATGAAATTGAAAAAGGAAGCAATCCTCCCAAAATCATTCCTGGAGGAAAGTATTATACTGATATCAAAACCATGGAAAGACACAACTTGAAAACAGAACTATAGGCCAATCTCCCTCATGAACATAGGTGCAAAAATCCTCAATAAAATTCTAGCAAATAGAATACAGCAAATCATCAAGAAGATTATACACCATGACCAGGTAGGATTCATCTCAGGCATGCAAGGATGGTTCAATAAATGCAAATCTGTAAATGTAATACACTATATCAATAGAGCCAAATCCCAAAATCACATGATCATCTCCATTGATGCAGAAAAGGCTTTTGACAAAGTCCAACACTCATTCATGTTCAAAGTCCTACAGAAAATGGGAATAGATGTCCTCTACTTCAATCTGATAAAAGCCACCTACGATAACCCATTGGCTAACATAATTCTAAATGGGGAAAAACTGTAGTCTTTTACTCTCAGATCTGCTACAAGACTAGGATGTCCTCTATCTCCACTCCTATTCAATATAGTTCTGGAATCACTAGCTAGAACCATTAAACAAGAGAGAGAGAAGTAAAAAGAATAAGAACAGGTAAAAAAGAAGTTAAATTATCATTATTTGCAGATGACATGATACTTTAGTTGGAAGACCCAAAAAACTCCACCAAGAAGCTACTAGATTTGATGCACAAATTCAGTAGCATAGCAAGATACAAAGTCAATACCCAAAAGTCAATAGCATTCCTTTACACAGACAACAAACACACTAAGAGAGAAATTATAGAAACAATACCTTTTACAATAGCACCAAGGAAAATGAAATACCTAGGAATTAATCTAACTAAAGAAGGCAAAGATTTTTTCAAGGAAAACTACAGTACTCTGAAAAAAGAGATCGTAGAGGAGTTCATAAAATGGAAAAATATTCCCTGCTCCTGGATAGGAAGAACCAACATTGTGAAGGTGGCCTTACTCCCAAAATTGTTGTACAGATTTAATACAATCTCTATCAAACTACCACCAACATACCTCCCAGAACTAGAGAAATCATTCCAAAAGTTTATTTGGAACCAGAAAAGACCTAGCAAAGGCAATCCTGGGCAACAACAACAAGGCAGGAGGCATTATAATTCCTGACTTAAAATTATACTATCAAGCTACTGTGATAAAATCAGCATGGTATTTGGCAATTAAGTGAGGTCACTGATGAAACCTAGGGGAGAAAGAACTTTACGATGATCAGGCACACCTCAGAGTGAAACAGTCCAGCTACTAAGGGCACTTTTTGATAGAAGTTGTGTTCAAACAGAAGCTGTATTTCGTCACCACAGCTGTTGTCTTCCAGATTTTGTGAGGAAGTCAATAGCTGCCATGAAAATAATGTCTCCTCTAAGCACTCCTTACATATCTGATATATCAGTATTTCTAAGTCTAAATTCAAAAACCTGTATACTATTTCAATAGCAAAATATGAGTATTAGTCAAAAAAAAATACTGATCAAGATTCATGAGAGAATACTTTAAAAATCCTGATGTTTGACACTATTCCATTACTGAAGAGTATACACTTAGTGTATCTCAGAAATGTAGGTTTCTTTAACTTTGGCATAAGAGACTCATATAAAATAATCATTTAAAAGTCACTATGGAAGCTTGCAGGTTAGCTCAGTTGTTTAAGCACCTGCTGGGGAAACCCAGTCAGGTGCAGGGGATCACAGTTCAATCCCTAGCTCCCTATGGCTTGCCAGACCTGCTCTTAAGGCAGCTTGAGCCAGTCAAAAAAAAAAAAAAGTCACTAGGTAAGTAAAGTCCTAAAGGTGTTCCACTGACACTATCTGAACACATGATGCGAACTCTGTCACTACCTCCAAACAAAGCACTAATGAGGTGATACATGTCTGTACAATGGCATTTCTGTACCCAAGATGCCTGATAACAATTTATTGCATTGTTGGATATACAGAAATAAATAAAATCTGTTTTTTTGCCTATAAAGTTAATCTCACCAAATGCAACATGATCAATATTTGTTTTTTCTCTTTCTTCCTTCCTTTTATTTTATATATATTTTTTAATTTATGCTTTTTTTTCTTGAGGTACTGAGGATTGAACTCAGGACCTCATGTTTGCCAGGTAAATGTTTAAGCTGCTGAACTATATGCCCAGCCCAACGTGATTTATATTTGACAGAGTAGGATACAACAGCAAAATCAGTCTTGATACTGGGTTGGATAAGTCTTTATATTCTGGGATGGGGAGGCTAAGGAAGAGTTTTCCACTACACAGGTAAAGAGAGTTCATATTTAGACATAAGCAATGTGCCAAAGATACAACTGTAATTATTCTTGACACTAAAGTAAAATGTAAGGAAAACATCTGGATGGGTTGCAACCACCTATATTGAGCATTCCTTCTCCTACCTTCTTAAAAATAACAGCAAAGTCTAAAGTTTCTTCAAGATTTTGAAGTTTAAATTTCCTATACACAAAAAGTCTGTTTCTTTCCTGTTTTGAAAGGATCATTGATGAACATACTGCGGTTTTCTTCCTACTGAACCTTGATTTATAACATACATGGTGAAGCTTCAGAAAATTAAGACAGTAGATTTGCCAATATCAATACCCCAATATTGTATGACTCTGCCCAACTTAATTTGTGAGAATTCCCAAAACTCAGAATTTTCGTATCTACTAGGAGCAGTAGAAAAATATTATGAATGTAAATGGGAATTCTCACAAAGTTAGCATCTCTTGGGGCACAGAGACCTAGCACTTCTCTCACTGAGAACTCTACAAACTAAAATAAATACTGAAGGCATCTGAAAAACCGAGTCTCCCAGAAACCTTGAGAATCTATTAGGTTGCTATGGACAGAGAAAGTTCTGCCTAGTCACCAGCTCCGGCCCTCCCTCTTCATCTCTAGAGATTTTCTTCAACATATGATCAACAAAAAAAGAATGTATCTGCATACATGATTCTATTAACAGCTTTCCCATTTAAAAAAAAAAAAAACAGCAGTTTTAAAATCTGGTTTTATCAGATGCAATTCAAACTGTTTATCTGCAATATTTAATCCACACTTAATATCTGTATATACAGGAAACAAGATAATTTTCTCTTCTGAAATTACTTATATTGTTATTTCTGTAGTACCAAACAATATGATAATGCTTTCAGTACTCATCTCCTTAAGCTTTTGAGTTTTCTTTTTTTTTTTTAAATTTATTTATTTTATGTGTGTGTGTGTGTGTGTGTGTGTGTGTGTGGCCAGTTCAGCCAACCGGGGGCGGGGCTGGCTGGCATGTGGTGCTGGGGGATTGAACCGCAGTCCCTGTGCTTTGTTAAGCTTGTTCTAAGTAGGTGCTTTAGACCACTGAGCCATCTCACCAGCCCCAGCTTTTGAGTTTTCTAAATCTCCAAAAGCTAATACTAAGTATCTCTGTAGGTCAGGAAAACAGGACATTTAACATTTCTACAAGTGCTATACAATGCCCTACATTCTGTATATGAACTGTCTTTCTTCTCCCAAATGCAAAGGGCATGAGTTGAAAATCAGGCATCCAGACAGGTAAAGTAATAAGTAAAGCTGGCTGAGTGGAAGGCTATGACAGCTGGTGGCTTCCTCTACCAGAGCTGATGTTGCTGTGTTAAGAGTGCCATGCAATGCTCTTTATCTTCTGGTTTTTCAGTAAAGGACCGAAACCCAATCTTTGTACAGTCTCCCCAACTCAAAATGCTGGGCATTGTGCAGAAAACCCCATCGACATGCAGAGACCAAGAGAAATGCCTCTGCTGGTTGTGTTCAGTCTTGCAGCCTCCAACTGGCAACACGTCTCACTACTGACTTTATTCCAGATATGTCAGTAACTCTTTAGTGCGAACCCATAGGTTTTGTCATTGTTTTTCTAATAATGACACACGTCAGGGCAAAAATGTACAAAGACACTTATTTCCCATACTGTGGCAGTAGTAGAAATTACAGTCACATTACTCACCCTGCTGACTTCCTTAGGAGCTGAGTCACCTGGAGATGAAGAAGGGAGAGGAGAAAATACAGTTAGAAACCCTGGTCAGGTTCTGGAATACCACCTATGTCACTCACTCTCAAACTCAAGGCACTTTGGCAATGATGTCTTTGGAAATCTTCACATTTGATTTTAAGAAAACTAAAAGTTAAACTTAACAAATTGAGAAACATGTATTGTAGTTTTAGAGAAGAAATGTCGTACCACCACAACAACCTTCTTCCAGATTTGCTCTTTTAAGATTCTAAAACAGAAATATCTGCAAATTTGGCCACACTGGCTTATTAAACTATATCCTTAAACCAAGTTAACAGCACTTACACTACTTGATGTACTCGGCTCACAGTAATCTCCCAAAGGACCACTGACTTGTATTCTGAGGGTTAATTCCAGAAGACCTAGAATCGGTGAAAAGCTCTGCTAAAGTATGGAGTGCCCTGACCAGTCAGGGCATGCCTACCAATGGTGCTCTATCTGCCATGAGCCCAATGGTTAGGCATTATTTACTGGTGAAGGGAGAGTGATGGCCTATACTGTGGCTCTGTGAGAAATACCCAAGGGTTTTCCTGGTGGTGCTGGATGTAGGAAAGAGGACACCTACATGACCAACAAGCTAGAGGAAATGACCGGCAATGAATTCCTTTAGGTCTGCTGCTTCTGAACATCCTGTGCATCAGTCACTGGTTCTGACCCCAGAGAAAGTGCCTTTGTGCAGCTCTAGAAGGGAAGTGTTGCTGCAGCTCAGTCTGACTCTCACAGTGCTCTGCTGACAGGTGTCCCTAATATAATGCTGCTACCCTATTATGTCACTGACCTATAGGTTGGCAAGCACTGTCACTTTGAATCCTGTCCTTTCTAGCAATCAAGTCTTGTCCGACTGCCAACATCAGGCCATGCTTATGCCCAAAACCAAACATAACCCATGTAACCACAAAGCAGAGCCTGATTTACTCTGACATAAGCAAAAGTATATTGTCTTTGTCTCACAGGCTCAGACAAGGCTTTGACTGTTCTTTGCACTTATCCAACTTGAATGTGTTAAGTTACTTCACTTATATATATATTTGCAAAACCAACCTTTTGGGGGGAAACTACTGAAGTTTGAACCCAGAGCCTTCGTACTGAGTTACATTTCATGATTCACTTTATTTATTTATTTTTTATTTTTTTGTCCTTCTTATAATCATTTTATTTATTTAACATATTTTATAACATAGGAATCATGTATAACATGGGAATCATGTATGGAAACATGCAGTAGCAATCCATGTTCCTAACCGTTAAAACAAAACAAAACAAAAATCAAGGAAAATGTACTACTCATGTTATGTATGTTTTGTATTCACTTTATTTTAAATTTTGTGACAGGATCTTGATGAATCACAAAGTTGCCCAGGCTAAACTTGAACTGCTGATCCATGGGCAATTTAAAGAATTTGAAAGAATTTTCATTTAGATGAATTATCTTTCCTAAGAAAAATTTTTAAGTGTGTCAAAGAAATACAGAACACTTAATTTTTACAGTATAGTGGGAAGAGCACACAGGAGAAGTAATCTGCTCAGCTGTTCAGAAAAGGTTAAAAGGTGCAGACTCGCAGTCCCTGGCTTTATCACTCTAGGCATGGTGACCAACTTCTGGCACCTTGCAAGTGTGAATGAAGTTTTGTCAAAGAGTGTTTTCAAAGAAACACAGAATATCACCACTTTCCCTGCATGCAGTGCCAGATTCCTTGCATACTGTGCAGAGTTCCAAGTGGCAAGGTGTGACTCGGCAAGCAAGCCCTGCACTTCCACCATACACCAGGACTAAGCTGGGGAGTAGGATTTCCTATCAGCCACCAAAGAAGCTAGCTTTGACCTGAAAGCACTGGGGATCATGGAAATGAAGGACATACCATGGCATCAGAATCTGCATTATTCATGACCACCTGATTACCAACAGAATGGTTCACCACAGAGAGCACTAGTTTAAACAGTACCCTGGTTCTCCAGGAGGTTGCAGGCTCATCCATGTTTATTAAAATCACTTTTATTTCTTTTTTAAAAATGGAGAAAATATTCCAAACACAATTTTTATAACTTTTACAAGCAGTACTAGTTCCTGGGGTGAAAGAATCCCTATGAGGATCTCACAGAAGTGTCACACACCTTTACACTAAGTACTTAATGGTGCACTTTTCTTGGTAAGTACTCAATTCAATATTATGAAAAATCTTTGTAAAAGTGTGCAGACTTGTACATTTCTCATAAAAAAGCATTTGTACTTCTATATTCTTTGATACAAAATGGTATTTCAGTAATGAATGCACATGTATAACAAGCACTTTAAGGAATTCAGAATACACTTGTTGATACCACAGCATTCATGTAGCCATCAGTTTGGTCAGAGTTCTCCCACCGCTTGTTATCATCTTTATTCTATGCTTAGTTTTGAGAGTGGTGGGGGCCACCTCACTAAACTCATACAATTTTGAATCAATAAAGAATTATTATGTTTTCTTACTATTTGATCCACAAAAACTGCATATAGAAGTAAAAACCATGGGGAAAAAAACAATGCAGGAGAAGAAAAAGCAAAGTAACTTTAATGCATTATTAGAAGGAATACAAAGGATTTGAAACTTGTTATTTTTTTAAAATTGCCACTCAGTAAAAGTTGAAATCGATATTGAAAGTTCTGCATCTTAAATTCTATACATTCATGTTTACATTCTGTATAACATAAGGACTAAAATGATTAGTTAAGAACTTCACAATAACAGTAGGAATTAAATACTTAATGCCTTCCGGGTATGGAAAAGCTACATTTTCCATTGCAAGTTGATTTTCATCTCACCTAACAGAAAAATTCTGGTGTTTTGAACAATTTCTAGTTCTTGACTGCTCATTTCTCTGAGGCTTGATGTGAGGTTGGTTATATTAACCTGGTACAAGTAATCTCCCGCTTTTAGTGCTTATTCAACAGGATGAGAGAAGTTCACATGGTCTCACGTTGGCTCTACGTATACACAGAGGGGAGCACTTTGTGGGAGACATAGACATCATCTTCCTCATAAACACTGTACCCTTCTTCAAGATCCTCCATTTCACTCTGCCTTTCAGACTTGATAAATAGAGTAATATTCCTAAGAGGAACACACCAGCTTCTCAGCATGAGCAACAAGTATTTCCCTTGAAAATTCATAAACCGATCATCTTTATTATAGACTTTCATCTTATAGAAGTTGATGTGGCCCCATTCAGCCTTCTCCAGCCATTTCTAGCAAACCACATGACCACAGCATTTTTGGAAAGACAGAAAAAAAAAATTTTTTTTAAAACATTTATTTATTTAGTGTGGGGGGGGCAGCTCAGCCCACCAGGGGGCGGGGCTGGCTGGCATGTGGTGCTGGGGGATCGAACCGTAGTCCCTGTGCTTTGCCAAGCTTGTTCCAAGTAGGTGCTTTAGACCACTGAGCCATCTCTCCAGCCCCAGAAATTTGTTTTCTAACAGTATTTCAATCTTAACATTTAGTCCACAAACACTTATAAACATCTAACACAACATTGCCCTCGTGCAAAAAAAAAAAAAAATTGGCATGGACTTTTGCCCTAAAAATGTTAAAGATAGACTCATTCTTTCCACATTCATTAACAAATTTTAACACATGATTTTTTTCTTTCCTTTTTAAGACTAGGACTTTCACTTAGAAAGCATTTTACAGCTTTTCTTTGGCATATCCAAATTGCCAGCATTGCTGCTCTTTTGCTGTAGGCCGCTATTAAGGAAAATAAAAGTTACTTAAATAGGAGGACCTTGGTGCCATAAGAATTTATCTAAAAAGGCCAAAAGCTACTATGTGACTAGAGTAAGTAGTGCACAGCAAGGACATGCCAGTCTACAGGACAGGCGCCTCCTGCTTAGGTCAGCAAGATGGCAGCAGGCTTCGGGCTACACTGAATGGCACAAGACCTCATGAAGTTCTGCTTCTGAATTGCCATTTAAAGGTTGTACACTTTGGGTAACTGAAAACTCTGAAACCATATTCCTCAGTTAGGGGGACACTAATGTACATGACAAATGCTGAAGAAAAATCTCAGTCAGCCCAATCAAACTAAAAGGAAGAATTAAACTTCACTGCATTTAAAGAATCACAAGGAAGTAAGCGGTTTGTCCTTGCTGGTGGCAGCCATCCTGTCATCATAAGGAAATCAATTTAAAACCAACAGTAACACAACACAAAAGACAGGGGAGTGGGAAGGAGGGAAGACAGGGGGTAGAGAAATAAGAGACACAGATAGGCAGGTAGGCAGGCAGGCAGGCAGGCAGGCAGACAGACGGACAGACAGACGTTTATACCCAGTTATTCACCCAAACTTGAAGCCTGACTTTCCTAGGGACTTAGTACTTAAAATATTTAACATTTTTATTAATTAAGCCAATTTTACCATGTAAAACTAAAAACACTCAAAGAGCAATTAAAAAACTGTTCCTAGAACATGACATTTATACCATTACATTGATGCAGTTATTTAAAACAGAATGTTTCTCATTTCTAACAAATAAATTATTCTGCTTAGGAGTGAAGCCCCAACCAACTGGTTGTGCTCTAATTATACAAAAAGAACCTACAACCTCCTCCTCCTTACTTCCATAAGCCTGACCACAGAAGAGACCCAATTTGTTCTGCCAATTCTTAACTCTTATCCTTCCCACCTTCAAACAATATTTCTTGAGCACTTGAGTGACAGGAAAACTTTTGAGGATTTTTAATATCGCAGAGATTTTTTTAAACAAGACTTTTTGAAAAGATTTTTTTTTTTTTAAATCGTAGTGCAGGGTGGCCTTGAACTTATGGTGATCCTCCTGCATAGGCCTCAGAACTACTGGGAATACAGGTGTGCAGCACCATGCCTGGACCTCCTTCACAGCTTTCAAAAGTAGAGTAATTTACAAATGAAGGAGCTAGATTGGCTCACTTTTCAAATCTTAGCTTCCCTTACTAAGTGTAAGTGGACT